AAAAAAAAATTTATGAGGACACGGATAAGACTTAGGAGTCATAGATAACTGAAAAAAAGATTTAAAAAATTGGAAAGCAGTTCAGTGCCTACGTAAACAAAAACTTTTTACTACTGTTTAACCCCATCCAAAAGAAGTTGGAGTTGCCTACATTTGTCTTTAGAACAGGATTGCAATGTTGACTTTCCCGTCTCTAAGAAATCTTCAGAGCCAGCGTTGTGGAACTCCCGGTGTTGTAGCAATTTTGACTTCATTGTTGTTCATCAAATCAATGCAAACTTCTTTCACATTTCTGAAAACTTTTACCAGTACCATTAATAAAACTTTACGATCGGCATGCTCAAAATTGAAGCAAATTGATCACTCTTTACCCGCATAGTTGCAAATAATGTTAATTCCAAAGCAACGTATGAGACGCTGAGAATCAGCTTGTCAATTTTTTTTTCTAAGCTATTCAAAAGTTTTTAACACGTCGCAGTGTCGGAATCAAACGTTGACGAGTTTTCAAGTTTGCTGTTGCACAGTCCATAAGTTGGCTGAGTGGTTCAATATAACATGACTCTTTTGCATACTCTTTTGAAGAGCTTGTGTCAAAAAAAAGTTGTAACGGTCTTTTTTTGTTGATGTATTCAGAAAGCACATTTGTTGCTATCTTTCCCAAAATTATTCTATCGAAATATCACAAACTTAGTACCACTGCGCAGTTATTGAAACACATAGAAAACTTGGAATAAAAGTATTTTTGACGTTCGAAAATTAACTATTCAAAGCTAAATAAGTAGAACACTTATACAGCTGCTGAGCAAACAAGCACGAAGAACGAATAGTGCTACAAGAAGTTTTGAAAAAATAAGTGTAATAAAACAAGTCTGGTTGAGTTATGTGAATTTGTTTCCCAAGAGTATAATAGTTCAAGTTATGTAGAGTTCCCGTAAATAATTAGCATAAATACCCGTATGAAACAGTTTGCCAAACAGTGTTTTCTGTAACTGCTTCAAGCGCAAGTTCAAAAAAAAAAAGCTGAAATTTACAGAAAAATGGAGAAAATTTGGAAAAAAAATCTAGTCTTGAGCTTAAATGCACTAGTCTTAAAATCTACATACTGTGAATTTCTGGTTAGGTGCACAGGTTTTTGAAGGTGTTACTATTATTCTATGAGAAAAATGACCTGTATTTTTCCAATTAAACTGATTTACTAATCCAAAAATTACAAAATTACTGTTTCAAATAAGCCTTTTTTTAGCTTACTCAAAAGTTACACTGTTGTTTAAAATTACTTCTTTGGAAGAGAGGAAGGAAGAGTAGTAAACAAGACAAATTTTTGAAATAAAACGTAAATAAACAAAAGTTTTATATAAAGAAAAAGTGACAGAGGAGAAAAGCAGAAAACTGATAAAACTCGATAGTAACGCTACATACCAAAAACTATATGTTGAAATTCATCTCGACAACAACATTTTCTGATGGACGAACGCAAGATGCTGATGTTGTTTAACAGCAGATCGTAATTCAAGAGAGGAAAAAGCAAAAAAGGAGATGAATTTTAAACAAATGAAAAACTTCACGAGAAGAGTGAATCCCATCTTACGACAGAACCGTATCAACAAAAGAAGCATCTATACCAGATCGCAGAGGATTTCATGAGGCTGTAAAAACCTCAAGCAACTAACATTCAGGTTGCAATTGCGCCGGTGCAAGAAAGAAGCAGCAGGATTTTCAGTTATACAACATGTGTTGTCAACCTTATGCGGGAAAAAGTAACTGAAGAGAGATCAGTGCAACAGCAACCTTGCAAAAAAATTAGAAAAGTAAAGAAATAGGATAAAATAAAGAAGAATTAGTCAAAGGCAAGGTGAGGAAAAAGACTATTGACCTCAGCTCAAACATAAGGACAAATTGAACTTGCTCAGTTTGTGACCATTCCTGCAGAGCAACACTTCGTTCTATAGTTGATTTTGAAACCTTTCCTGTTATAGTTTTCAGTGGTGGCTCTTACAAGCTTGAGCGTACATTAAACTCAACCATGATTTTTGGCTACCATTATCAATGGCTTCCTTAAATTGAAAAATTCTTGTCTTGTATAAATAATCTGAAAGAACAAAATGCGTTTAGTCAACAAAAAAAATGTCAGGTCGGTAAAAAATTTGAACTGGTAAATTGCTTTAAAGCCAGAAACTTCAGCTTTCAAAATACAAACCTATAGAGAGGTAAAGCTATGGTAATCTTTGAAATCTTTTTTACAGAGAAGTTTCCGATTTATTTAAAATACGATGACGGATCTAAATGTCACGTGATACTGTGCAATCGACGAAATAACAAAAAGTTAAGAGTAACTATACTTTTTTTAATCTTAAAATTTTGCATTGTTCATTTCTTTTCAAGTCTCAAAACAGTCAATGCGGTTGTCGTAATGTTTTGTCTTGTAGTGGTTTTGCTTAAATTAATCCTTGGTAGCATACTCATTTTATTCTTGTTGACAGTTTTACTTTGCTTAGGCTTAAAATCTAAAACAAATTATCTGATTGAAAAACCCCTGTTTTCAGATATAAAAGTTTACTTCTGCGTACTTTTAATGTCTATTTTCTTCAAAAGTCAACATTTTCTAATTATTTTATTTTTCAGGTGTATTTTCAGGTTTCTTAGAATGTCCCACCGGATGGACACGCTTTAAAGAA